GCTGCGAGGGACGCGTGTTCTGTGTTGTGACGTTGGTGAAAAACGCAGAAGAAAAAAACAAGTATCTTTAGTTTCAAATAATTTTACACATATAAAGTAACATAAGTAACTAAAATATAAACATAACTCTGTGTACGTGTACGATCTCGTACACAGCATACTAATATGCTGTGTGTACAACGCGTACTCTGTACTTTTGGCTTAGTAGTGACCATCTAATGTAAGAATTGAATCATATTGTGTCATACAGCTACATGTATTTAGTCAGTACCGCAATGTATTATTATTATTATATATTTAACGTTTATTCACTTTATATGAGTTCAAATAGATCTAATAATATATGTAATATATAATGTTTTCAGTGTTGGTGGATCACTTTAGCCTGGTCATTTAAATTGTAGCTCCCAAGCCAAAAATGTACCTGCTATATTACACCAATGGATGCCATCAACATATTGCAAAACTTTAAAAAACCTTAATTGTATTTCCACAATTTCAGATGCCTTAAATATTTCATGAGATACGCACAAATATATGGCCAAGTAGCACCAATTAGCCTACATATGCTAATTTCTGCATCTGTCGTTAATTACACGTATGAAGTGGGGAATGGCTCGGAGGAACTGTGCAGGGCTTGTGTGATAGCATTACTCTCCATTCAGCCTTTTACTGCCCATTGCATAGTGGGCATGCACTCTGGGACTACAGACGACATGTTAGGGCTTTTATGTTGGGTCCTTGCTGTGTAATGACTCTGCTGGCTTTGAGACCGCCATGTGGTTTAGTACGTATTGCGACGGGGAAAAAATGGCTCCATCCATTTTAACATAAAAACCTGCTCATTTGGGTGTTTTTATGTCTGTGGTAAATCTGCACCAGTGGTCAGTGGCAGAGGAACATCATAAAACAGCGTCTTTAATAAGTCAGTGTCGACTAACACAGAGTTCTCTCTTGGCTCCGGGAGACGGTCGTGATGATGAATTATAATCATGGGTTTGATTATATCGGTTATTTAGGAGGAAAATGTCACATTTCCTTTATTTAGCCCTGCTCCAGCTTTAAGTTGTTGTTGTTATCTGGTCCCCCGATGAGATCTTCATCATGTACAGAATCAAGTCAAATGTCTTTTTTGTAGTTTTCAGCAAGTTCCATCTAAGTCTTTTGTCTGCAGATTTCAAGTAGGTTCAGTGTCACAAGTAAAGAGCAACAGAATGGAAATGTAGGGATTAGTGCTAATGCTACATATGCTGTAATACACAACTGTATTAATTGGAAAATTCAATATTACCAAACGATTGCAACAATTTTCTTTTGCTATATCCCGAAATATAGCAAAAAATAAGATATTCAACATTCTACAACTGTACTGTGCATATAATAGTGTGGGAAAGGGTAATACAGTCTAGGGAGCGTTGATAACACTGGGGGAGGTTCGTAAAGGGTTAATAAATACGTAAATAATATAATAACTACCTCGCCTCTACTTTGCGATTTTTCCCAGTTTGCGGTGGGTCTTGTGACGCAACTCCCGCGATAGGAGAGGGATCACTGTATATATATATATATATATATATATACATACACACAAATATGCAGACATATACACACAGACATACATGTGTATAATACGGGATACATACATACAGAGTATAGAATATGGAATATATAGACTAAAAATGTGAAGAACCATCTGTGTGCAAAGCTAAACAATGTGTGCATCATGGACTAAGGTAGTATCATCATAAATAGGGAAAAAGCTAAAACAAACACTATAAATTGTTTTAAGGGATGCTAACAGTTTGTCCCCGAGCTGTATACATTTATTTTTTTATTATCACTCGTTCTCTTCCGCCCCCTCCCTCTCTTCATTCTATCTGCCCTTGTACATGCTCTCCATGTCAGACCCAGCTGTTACTACAAACTACTTTGAGGGCTTACAAGCCTCAGTGCTAACACTGACAAAAGCACTGTTCTTACTCAAGGCCCCAACATATACCGGAAAAAAGTGGGAATATGAGAGATTTTCTCCGGCTCACCACAAAATCATTTTCCCCAGCAGATGCTTCCATCTGTTCAAATCTAATCGTTTGATTAATACTTACTTCAATGAAGGGATGCCAACGAGGTATTAGATTAATAACTCAAGATGCCCTTTCTTTGACAGCTACGATGATTTCCTTTTGAAGGCGTCTCATTCTGTGTGTGTTCGCCGGTACCTGCGTACGTCTGCATACGTCCAACCCTATGTGAAGCTGCACATGGTATGTTTGTGGAGGTATTTATGGCCCATATGTGCATTTGTTCTGAGCAGTAACCCCATTACATTCCTAAGATGGTCCATGACACTAATTAATGTTCTGTGGCGAGGCTTTTCCTTTACCCTGGGGACACTCAATGGATTATTTACCTATATGTACTATTGACAGCAAGGCCCCTATCCACTTGGTAACCTCTATGCAAATAGATGGTTTAGGGCATCACTGTAGAGGTGTATAACAGCAGTGAGCTGACACGTGCAGAATTTGCATTTATTTATGTCTTCATTTAGTTTTATAGCTGACACAAAAGACATGGGTATTGTGGCCACATGAATGGGCGAGAGATGCAGTGAAAGACAAAATCAGTAGTTTACCAAGGAAATTTTAATTTGGATTTTTTGCTAGTAAATACTCCTCTAAATTTAGGACCTGACATTTTTTATCTGTCATATGGGTTCCAAATTATTTATTTATTGTATACGTTGTCGTGTATGTTAGATATGTTCACGTACAATCATAAAGCCGAAGCTAGTATGAGCCTTTGATTTGGATAAATAAAAAAAAGAATTAGCAGTGACTGATCATAAATGCTGTGCTAACGCTAACGGGGAGTCTGTTAGCAACAAAACGGGTTGATGCTTGTTATGTTGTGATTTTTGCACAACACTTAACTAACCCATAAACAGATCTGGTAAACAACTCTCCCTATAAGGTAAATGTGTCTGACCTGTGTCAAAATCCTGACAGAAATCAGACAGAAAAATATGCGCAAAGAATTGAAAATCATGGTCCATGCTAGAAACAAATCAAATCTGTAATGGTTTGAGATTTTGAGATTGACATATTCGGAAAGTAGAAAACGCTGAGATACTAAATTAGAGTTGTCTAAAACTGCATCAAAACCACCTAAGATTACTGCATTCTGTTATTTAGTAGTTTCCATACATAACAAATGATGCAATTTTCTTTTTTACTGATCAAAGCAGGGCAAAAATATTCCATAAAAATATTAAAAATATATATACAGGCATATACACAGTATGTATATGTATGTATGTACAATTTCCGTGACCTAATTTGTCTTACCGCTGACACATAAGACGGGCACCCTAACCCACATGATGACTCAAACAATACATGAGTCAGTAACTGTGGCCTTTGTAGTAGCTGTAAGTACTAACTCTTTTTTTTAGCTATTGTAGTTTTTGTGTGAGTTTTTTTCCACTTTAAAACATATGTCTGTTCGTGTGTGCGTGCGTGCGTGCGTGCGCGCGCGCGCGTGTGTGTCCAGCCCCTTGCATCTATATCACTGTAAGTCTAAAAGGTTTTCAAGAGAAAAAAAAAGACGGATCATCTTTAATCTGCTTCTTGGTGACTGGCTTAGTGTTCAGGTTACCAACAGCAGCTGTCCAACACCTCTGTGGTCCTTTCAGTGACACTGTTATTGTGCGAGTGACAGTGAAGGTGGATACACAGGTATAAGGTGTTCACACTGGTCATAAACAGCAGGGTCCTTTCTGTTCACTTTTATCAACCAACCTGATTTTTCCTGCAACATATGAAAGCAGGTTCTGTTAATAATAGCCAAATAACTGTTTTAGTCCTCCAGCCTTCCCTCTCACCCTCACCCTCTGTTCCTACTCTCTGTGGCTCTCCACTTGGTTCTAAGCAGGCAGTCAGAAGCGGTTCCTCAGGTTGGTCTTATGTTTGCCATATCATTTAAAGCTGCGCAAGTGATTCACAGAATAAAACAACACCGGAATCTGTTATTTTGCTCACTTTTCGACTTTAATATCAACCTGTCATTTGATATTAAAGATATTAAAAGGTTAATTTTGTCTTCAATTAAACACAGTTATACACAGTTTATACTACGGTAATAATTCCGTGCACAATGGTGGCGTACGACCTCAAGGAATAGGTTTCATGTATCCAGGTTCTAGTGTCCAAATCCAGATGTGTTTTCTTGTGGAAAATGCATTGGTAGGTGGATATTTATTTTTGTAATGTTTTATACATGTGTATCCCTTTGGTTTTCCACCTTGTACAGATGCATCGTGCAGGATTTAGGCACCACTCGTGGTTACATTTAGTGTGTGGCTTTTTTTATCCTACTCTTTTTGTCCAAACATATTACAGAAAATATATGACAGCTACTAGTTACGGGTGGTTTCTGATATTTTTTTCTTTGACCATTTTTAAAACCAATATAGTGACCCGCTTTCGAATGTAAATAGATATTGGTATGTATTAGTAATGTAAACTTTTGTAATGTAAAGTTTTATAAACATAACTTTATATGTAATTTAACACAACCAAATTAAGCTCATCTTAGTTACAATTGCCAATAAAGGAAATTTTCACAAGACCACACTTTTAGAACGAATGCTTGTTAAATGTGCTTTAACGGTGAAATTGTAAAACGGTTTCTATATTTGTTGTGCTTATAATAAAAAAAGCAAAATAAAGTCGTGTGTTGAAATAACATAAAAAACAAAAGCGGACACAGCAACCACAGTAATAAAATGATGTCAGCGGGCACGAAGGAGCCCCCTTTAGCCAACCCCCCTCAGCACAGAGGGAAAGTGAGCGTCAGAGGTAAGGCGGTCATTCATTTTCTTTGCAATCATTGGTTGGTTAGGTTTGCCATCCGTCAAATGAACGCACGCCACTATTGGCTGAGCTTCCTCGCATTTATCGTGCCATCTCGTCGAACTGCTGCTGTGTAATCGCAGGTAACTTTCATACCGTAGCCTTCCGCCGAGAGACGTAGTACGCGCAGCGCTCCTATATTTTTTGGATTTATTGTTACATAATACAGAAGGGAACATTAGTATTAGATGTTTCTGTCGTTGTCGACCAACCGGAGGCGCACCGCAGCCGCTTCTTTCATTGTAAAGACGGATATTTTATTATAGGCGTTTGAAATCGGACACCGCTGGCGTTGAGGCCCTCGCGTTTGTGCGGAGGGATACGTTGTTGCGTCTGACAATGTGGACGGAGGTGGTGAAGATGTCTACGAGAAGAATGAAATCATCTCAGTTGTAACAACAAAAAAGCAGACGCGACATTAGTGGTTATAATAGATTTGTTTGTACACAGACTTGTTACATCGAAGCAAACACGTGGGCGCTGCGTGAAAAGCGGGCTTTACCGGGACAAAGGGAAGACGTCCACTGTGCTCCAATGCGTTTCAGGCGCTGAGGTCGAAATTCTCTTGAACTTTTATGTTTTTTTCCCCTCGCCAGACTCTGTTCTTTTTCACTGCTGGATACAGACACACGAAGAGCTGAGGTAAAAACCCACTCTTTCATTTTACGTTGCATGGATTATTAGGCTTTTATTTACACCGATTTTGACGCCCGCTATTATAGAAAAGTTTTTTGGGGGGGAATGTGTGTTTGAAGCGGGCAACGTTGGAAGTTTTTGTCTGGTTTAAGGTGACTAGCTAACTGTGTGATGGTCTCCGCGTCGGCCACGGAGGAGAGGAGGAAATTACTCCTTTGTTCTGCAAAAAGAGACTCCACTAACATTAATGTTATCCCATCCTGGGCAGCAACAGCCGCTCAATGTTCCACTCGTAATCGCAACTAGACCTTAAACCACAAATTCGAAAGCTTAACGTTGTCGACCATTTAAGATGAAGTTCGTGTTTTGAGTTTATCGTGTCCGTACAGGCCTGAAACAAACTTTCCACAGAAAGATATGATTGCCCGTCGCATTTTAAACACGTCTTTTTGGAAGTGTGTGGACACCAGCTTGACTTTATTTTATTACACATTTGGCAGGAAATCCTTCCTACTACCACCCCCACCGTCCTTTCTACCCGAACCCCTCGTAACACACCGCTCGAACCCCGTTGTGTGGTTATAGACGAGTAATTTTGTAGCAACTACAAAAAAGATAACTTCGCAGCATTGCTCTTTATTTTACGACGGTCAGGATATTTGCATTTATTTTGTTTTTTTTTTTCGATATGAAATTAATAAAAAAAAAAAGACAGAGAGGAAATGGATAGCTTGAATGATCAAATAATCTCGAGCCTACATCCTGTGGTTTCCCCGAGATGTTTATTGTCATTGTTATAAAGCGCTTTAGCCAAAGTGGTCATTATTTATTGTGATGTCTCTGGCACAGGACATTAACATCCGCTCCTAAAGGCCAGTGTTTGAATCAACAGTTGAATATGTCTGTTTAAGACGACAGTCCCTGTTATTGTTATTGTTCCGGTGGTGACAGCACTGACATAAACACAGTTTTAAAGATATTTAGTTTACTCTTTTCGTACCCTTGAAATTACCTGTTACAGCAGATGTGCACGTGCAGATTTGTACTTGGCAAATTATTTGTCCCAGTTGTGGGATCTATTTATTTAGCCCAACGTTGTGTTTTGGTGGAATTTCTAAACATTGCAGGGCCTGATAACAAAAAGTGGTCGCATTTTAAGAACAGCTGTACGATAAAATGGTTAGTTTTTTTTCTGCAGCCATTTTTGTGAAGTATAACCTCGTATGTCTCGTTTGGGGTGACAAAGACCCCTTATGTGCTTGCTTCAAATATTGATCCGGCAGTAGCTGAAGATGCCATTTTGTTACATTAAGCCCCCTCCATGTGCTCCACTCCTTTCAGCCCAGTGGATAATTATTTATGTGCTACCGTTGAGTTTTTCTGAGCCATTTACTTCCTAAGTGCCCAGCAAATCCAGAAGTTTGCTAAAGCAGTGACAGCCATGTTTTCAGGCCATTTGTTCTTGGGGTGAGTGTGTTCCCTGCCTTTCTTCGTGTCAAGGGTAAATTAGTTATGCTGTCCTGGGCTCACTGGATATGGAGTTGCCCTCTTTGTGTGTTTGACACAAAGAAAGTCGAAGGTGAATTGTGTTAATTTGAAAAATACAAAAGGAAAGTCCTTTGATGAATATAATTTCGAGTGGCTTTCCACTTTGTCTCCCTTTACGTATAAAGGCCTCCCAATATGTTTTGCCATCATATTGCTTTTTAAATGTATATTATAGGACACCCTCCTTTTCCCACTGCATCAATTTAAAATAGTTATTAGTTCCAAAAAGGCTGTAAAAGCACACCACCTGTTGGTGTCCAACTGCCTCTGTTTCCCCATTCCCTCCCCACGTCACTGTTTCCCAGTGAGGCTTTCAGAGCCACCGATCAGCATCAGAGAGCGGCCTCAGGCTTGCGTCGGAATGCACAACACAGGGTAAATCTAGTATTGGTGCTCACTGTGTCATTTGGCAAGGTTCTTTTTGAGTTGACATATGGTAATTTGGTAATGACTTGTTTGCATGTAGTCATTAGGTCTGCCTTTCACCCTATTTCCTAGGGCTAACAAAAGTCCTAATTATGTCTTAAATTGTAAGCGTATTACATTATCTTTTATGTCGCAGCGATCGACATATGGTCACGTTATTTGCCGTGGTTGCATAAAGTGAAAGACGGGCTTTTTTCGAAGTTGTCACTTGATACTTTGATTTGACTACAGGCACACCAGTTCCCATTTTATGGCAGCGTCTGCATACTGCAGCAGTCGAACAGGGGCATCTTTAAAAATGTCATTTTTTGGTGGCTGTATCTAAAATGTATGATCTCTTTTCTCTTATTGGTCTATATTTTTGATGCGGTAGTAATTTGAGCTGTTTCAGCCAGCTGAGCCCCAGTAGGCAATTGCTCCTTCTCGTGGTATGACTTCTAACAATTTTACAGTATTTTTTATATATATATATATATATATATATATATATATATATATATATATATTGTTGGAAAAAAAAGTTTGTTACATAAATTATTCCCTGAGTGATTTTTGAATCATTGCAAGCGGGGGCGTTACCTTTTATGTTCACTATATATGTAGCCTGCCGTAAATCGTCATCCTTAAACCTTGAATATGAGGTATGCATGATTTTATACTATGTGATGGAGGAAAGGCAAAGGTAGTTTTAAACATTAACCCCTTGCCCCCAATTTTATTTAGTATAAAATCACATTTAAGTTGATTTTGTATTTCCCTTTGTCATTAAAATCTTTCATCTATATTATTCTCACAGGGATTATTGTAGACTCAAGGGTATGAACGAACAGCAGCAAAGGATGGCTGCAGTTGAAACTGACAAGGAACTCAGCGACCTTCTGGATTTCAGTGCGGTAAGGGAGCGGGCAAGAAGTTTGGGGTGGCAGTGGTGGGTGGGCGGGTGGAAGTGAGAAAAAACGAGATCAAGAGCACAGTTCAGGTCTAAAGGTCTAATTGGGAAATTTGCGTAGATGTGGGATTGGCAAGAACCGCTGCATTGTGAGATTCTAACATCTGTCGAAAATAATGCCATCTCAATGTATATTTTCCATCCCTCCTCCTCGGTATTCCCAGCACGATATAAAAATATGCTTCACCTCAGGCTGAGTTGAGAAAATGATTTAGGTTTTAAATATAGCTCTCTTAATTATCGAGGTGATGAGAGATTGAAGTGGATCCATACTGAACCGAGTAGGTAGCAATTGTGAAATGTAAATAGAGAATCAGGAATTGCTGCAGGAAATGGGGAGGGGGGGTAATTTCACCTCTCCCCGTTAGTCTTGTTAACAGATTTGTTGAGGGGTGATAATGCCATGTATGAACTGTGCTGAGCAGACATCTTCTTTTGTTGTATTTTTAGTCACAAGAAAAACAGAGGTGCTTTTGGTGCAATCCCTTCTGAGACGAGCAACAAATTGCATACGGCCAGTATAGCGTCCCCCCCCCCATTAAATCTGTTATGTCTTGAAAACAATAAGAATTCTTGCGCACGTGGCTCAGTTACTTTTGTTACTACAATTTTTATTTAATGAACCCTGCGAAACTGATTATTCTCAGGTTCTCATTCTTTCCTTTTTAATACTTCAACAATCGGCAAAGTAACCGTACAAATAACCCTGAACCTAAAACTGTAGGGCCGCTCTGCTCTCTTATTCGGTCATAACCCAGTCGGGTGTTCAAGTGCAAAATGTACACATTGTGTTTACGTGGTACAAAGTCTGATTTAGGAACTTTCTGGGTATTTTTATACGGAGTGAATGTCATATAGACCTAGAGTGTGCCCTTGTCATAATAATCAAATAGAAATACATTTATTTTAGTGTAACGTTGTCGCCGCTTTACAAATCGTTTTTTTTATAGTTAATCCCGTGTAGTTAAAACTGAAAGACATCTAAGACTTCGGGCCGCTCCACGTAGCCCTCATCCCTCTCCCCTTAGTGAAACCCACATTTAGTCTTTGACGAAGGCCGTGAACTAATATTGAGTGATTCACAAGCGTTGTCTGATTTCCTGCTTCTTATTTACACAGGACGTTGGACTGTGTAGAATAAGCATGGAATTTTATGTTGCAAAGTTATAAAAGGGCATGAAGACAGTCTTGTGGTAGATCAGTGATGAGTTGAAGTCATGACATAATCTTAAAGCTTAACCAAAAGTCCTTGTCTAAATTACATGTGTGTGAGATGTGAAGTGTGCCGCCCTTTACATTATTCTTTATTTTATCTTTCTTCTTTGGCTTGTAGATGTTTGCACCTCCAGTGGCCAACGGGAAGAGCAGAACCATAACACTTGGTAGCACCCAGTTTAGTGGAACAGGTAAGTTTTTCAGCTCATTGTTTGGACCTGCTTTTTACACAAATGCGTGTGGCTTTGAAGTGAAAGCCGGGTGCTGTAAATTGTTGAATATGTATATTTGAGCTGATGATGATCATTTCACACCATACAGATCAATCACGTGAAAAGCTTTTTATATGTTTATATTTAAAACTGTGTTCAGACTTTAAACATATAAACAATACTTGTTAATACTTTGAAATATAGTTGTATCAGTATACTGGCCCTTGGTTGTGGACTTATTGTTTATTGTGCGATAATGAAGGGGGAAAGTATATGGATAGAAATTTGAGGTGTCTCTAACAAAGAAAAAAAACTAGCTCTGAATCTGTGTTTTTGTTAAACCTATGAACTGACTATGTGGATTTGAAAGTCCTTGTTTTTATTATTTTAATGTGTATTCTAGATTTCGAGTTCTAGAAACCTTTGGGGAAGCTTTTCTTTCTTCCTGAATGTTATTAGTAAGTTATGATATGTTGGTTCCTGTCACCCTGCCAACCTGGCGTGTGAAATCGAGTCACACTCCCCCAGTGTTCCCAGGAGTGAGAACTTGGCCACTGAGGAACAAAGACAAAAAAGGGGGCTTATGGACTTGAAACAACTCCCCCACCCTGAAGTGTAAAACACTCCTCCCCCAACACGGCACAGGACCCTTGCCCCCACTGATCTGCAGGAAATGGCTCGAGTTTGAGACAATGTCCCTCACCCCCAGCTCACAGCCCCTTAAACTGGCCCAGCATGCAGTGAGTGGCCAGAGTGGAAGAGAGAGCCGGTTGAATAGGGATCAGGCTGCAGAAAGCAGGAGTCTGTTTGTTTCTATTACAGCCAGCAATTACTCAGCAGTGAGGATTTAATTCCTCCCCTTTTCTTGTGTTCTAAAGTGTGGCCCTCGGTCATTGACACCCTTTTTATTACCATTCTTTGACCTGTAACATTTAACTTTTGGAGCTCAGGCTCTTTGTGATAGCACTCAAAAATGAAACTAGTGTGTGAATAAAGAACTGGAGTTTGTCCTAGTAACACAATAGGTAATCGACCGACGACATTGGGAAAAAGTATATTAAATATCTTTAACTTTATCACTATATTAGAGAGATGAGGACGCTATACTACAATATATATGGGGCATTTTTACGAGTAACGTTTGGATTTGTGTATACTTAATGTACGTGCATCGTGTACAGTATATCGTCACAAATCTCTGTTGACACTACTTTCAAATCCATTTGAAGAATATGATTAATTGCAGCATAATGTCAATCTGTAACGTCACTTGTGAAGCCAGTTTATTTAGGGATTTGGCAAAGCAGGGGACCACCACATCACATCTATTGATCAACACAAAAGTACTCAGAGGGGTGCTAATTGCATTTGGAGTTCCTCTTTTTCCCAGTTCTCAGGGGCACGTGTGCGTATTGGGAGATTAGGAAATGCTGGAGTAGAGCATTTGTGAATAAGTGTGGAATGTTTGAGAAGCAGCGAGGGTTCAGTTTGATGATGTGTCGTGAGAGATGCCCCAGACCACCAGCCTCTGGGCAGGGATTCTCGCTATCACCTTTGCAGCTGCTCGCAACATCTTCCACTCCCCCACCGCAAACCAGCACACAGACACATTCGCGGGACGCAATGTGTCGGTGTTCTTAGAAATCACAACAAACGACACACTCGGTGAATTGTCACACGTGGTCTTACTCGGTGCCTCATTGACAAATGTTTGACTTTTGTGTTCCTGCTTTTAACACCTTGCGTGCGGAAAGGAAAAAAAAATTGTTTTTGTGCCTGAAAATTGTAGTTATCCTGGATATTCAACCAGTTTTGTTTGACTAAATTAGATGAATTTATGATTTGTAAAAAACAGTCAGCCGTTTAGTGGATTAATATTTCAGCTTGTGGTGTGAGCCACTGTTTAATTTGGCAGCGATAATTTGGATTATATTCACAGAAGCCGTGTTGGAATGTGTGTATGAATATGATATGACATACACCCAGAAAGACAACTGTTGATTTGGAGCTAACAACAGTTCTTAGCTTTTGTGTTGTGCATTCCAGAGAGTTTTTGCGAGTGCTTTTAACCGTTTGGACGTGTCACGTGACTGTATAAAAGTTTATAGTTAACTTGACTTATCATCTGCCGTGGTGAGATGCATGTATTTGTATTGTGGCTCGTAAAAGGAGCCAGAAGTGGATTCATCTGTAGTTAGTTTCATTTGTCGTACATTTTTAGATACTTTACACATTCTTAAAAACTGGGCAATGCCTTTTTTGACCTTTTATGTGCCAGAAAACAGTTATAATTTTTTTTAATTGCCTGTAGTACCAGTAATTAATCATGTTTATAAATTGCACCTGTAACTGTTAAGTACAGTTGTAATTACTAAGTATTGACTAATTAAGTGAAGTTCTTTTGTAAAGCACGGACAGAATGTCCATGTCTCAGTTTTATTTCCTGTTTTTTATTTTTACTAGCGCGTATGTGACATCATAATAGAACAGATTTTGTCGTCTTTGTAAACCAAGGCAGTGGAGTGCACCAGAATTAGGTTAGCAGCTCTAACAGTGTTAAGTGTCAGAAGTTGTGTTGTAATTTAGAACAGGGTTTTTAAGGAGTCCGTTGAATCTGGGTGATTATTTGATAAAATCACTTTTCTACCCTGCGGTGACTGTTTTTTTCCCCACATTATAAGGAAGTATCTCTTTTCTGGAACAGTTGTGTGCCGAGTGTCACGTCACCTCAGCGGCTCTCCACCTCGTTTTTAATTGCCTTCGAGTTAATTACTCCAGTAAGTGTGAAACAATGTTGTCAGACTTCTCCTGCACAGCCGTGCTCTCACTTCATCCTCTGCACCCCCACCGGCCAAATGGAGGCTACATAGGTGGATGAGGGTTGCATTGAAAGTAACTGTGAAGATTAAACTTGCACTCCTGTTTCTTAGCTAAGAGTCCTGCGCAGTGAAGGTTAGTGTTGATGGTGTGCATGAGCCGTCACGTAGTATGTTTACGTCTAAATGTTTATAATGTGTAATTTATTACAAAACCTGACAAGTTTTAGGGAAATGGTTAGTAATAATAAAACTATGAAAAGTATATAATTTTTTACTTTGCTGCTAAATCTATTTTTTTTTTAAAAAGTCTTTAGCAGTTAACAGCGAAATTGTCAGCAGTGGTGTGAGTGTTGCGTTATTGCTGTGTCCATTCACAAGGTTTAATGTGACGGTGCGCAAGGCTGATCTTTTTCAGCTCCTCGCTCCTCCTGCTTGCTTGATTCTCCATGCCACCATCATCTTCATAGATCATGGCTGTCGTAGCCTGTGTAGGTGCTTGCACTGCTCTGTTAGTCTCATCACTCATTCTCACTCATCAGCCAGGCTGATCTCGCCCAGACCTCTCTCTCTTTCTGGTTCCCCCACCCCCAGTGTCCCCTCGCTTCTCCTTCCACCCACTCATTGCTTTCTCACACACATTTTTTTAATTAGGCAAAAATCAAAGACGGAATATGAATATTCATAAGGACTCCACATTAATATGCACAATTATGCAAATCAGCATGCAATTAAGCCTCGTGTCTCCAGAGAGCTGGGATAGCATTAGTGCATAAGACGGGGAGAATAGGATGATGGGGTATTTTGGAGTTTTCTGCTCCACCGGTCTTTTGGCTGTATTTTTCCATTGTCACACACGTTGCTTCTTTCTTTTCCTAAATTGCTGCGACTCGTTTTCCCTCTGTGCACTCGCTCTCTGTGTGACCGTGTGTCAGGTCTGTGAGTCGGTGACGCGCTTTAGATCACCAGTGGTACATAAATGGTTCATTTTCTGCTGTTCATTGACCATAATGAACGCTAAGCGGCATTTGAATGGTGTGATTTTAGCTAGAAAGGTTTAGCCCTGCATTACATGGAAGTCAGTTAAGCTGACGACCACGTCTCGGATCAGTATGTGCAGTTGTCTTGACGTGTCAAAATGTGGCTACTCCTAATGTTCAGTATTTAGGCCAGGATGGGCTTGACACTTGACCATTGTTAGAGACAACATTGTGCTTTGATTGGTTGGTTGTAAAAAAAAAAAAAAAAAACCTCTAAAATGTAATTTAGCTCTTTCATATCTTTTCAGCACTAGATGAGCGAAGTGGCTCTGGAGGTTGGGGGTCAGCAGAACAGAGCAGTCCTCCTTTCAACCAGGGACGGGTAAGACCTAAAACACACGCTTACCCTTCCTGCCAGGATATCGCAAAAAAAAAAAAAAAAAGTATCTCCTCACACATGTACAAATCCCAGGCCTGACCAAAACAAAAGCTCGTTGCCGTTTTTCTGCATCATGCCATGTTTGATTTGAAGTGGTGGTTTTACTTTCTACCTAATAACCTTGGCTCAGGTTCTTCTGTTGGCAAGCTCTACGGTAGCTGAGAACCTCTGTGAAAGCCCACCAGTAATTGCAGCTTCACATCCGCCATAACTGTCTTGGCACAAGTCTTGTGTAAATACAAGGAACAGGGGGTGAAATAGATGCAGCAGGCTTTGATTACCACAAGTTGATAATTAAGAAAGTCAATTTTAATCCCCAGAGCTGATGCTGATATGTTTGGCATGGATCCTGTTAGTTGGAATGAAAAGCAGAGGGAGGGTATCAGCTATGGCGCATAGGTGTGCTGACATAAATGTGGTTGTCCTAACGGTGTTTTTTTTTTTATAAACTTACCTTTATTTTCTTTGCTAACGGCTGTAGTTTCTTCGTGTTACTGTGCATGTCTTTTTAAAAAAAATGTTTTCTACTGTAGGGCTACGCAGAGGGTTCCCACTACAGTGAGCACGAAGGCTTGTCTTCTCCGTTCATCAGTTCAGGAATCACAGGTATGCTTTTTTTCTCGAATGCATTTTCTCCAGTGTGTTTCAGGGGTCTAACTGGCACAGGTCAGTTCTTTGTCAAAAAGTATTTGTAAACGGGTCATATCTCACACACATTGTTCTTATTTATTATCCAACACGCTGACTACGCGCATTTGTTTATCATTTTCTGTGACCACAGAATTGTTTTGAGTCTGGCAAAAACGCTTCTCTGTCAACATGCCTACGTGTATGTTCATTCGTTGAGTGTTGGGGATGTTAGGGCACTGAAGCGGAACCCATCCCCAGGGTTTTGTCTGGCAGGCGGCGTTATGCAGCTGAGCACACTGAAAAAAAGGGGCGGGGGTATCTGTAGAATTTTTGTGCTTTTGAAAACCTACTTTTCGTATGTGTTACCACACGTCGCATTTTCATCAGTGTGTGTATACAGTTTGACCTTCATTGATGTTTAAACAAATCTCCTCTTTTATCTTTCAGGTAAAAATGAAAGGCCAGGCTACCCTCCCTTTGGAAATCAGGTATGTCGTCTCGTTTTGCCGTATGACTACTGTACATGCTGTCTGAGTAATAACAGAAAGTCACATCGTGTGTACTTATTCGAAAAAGCAATTTCTTACTTCTGTTAATATTAAAGTGTTTGAACGGCCATTCTTTTTTCGAACTACACAGTACAGTACAGTGCTCCGTTTAGGCCAGCTGTAACTTAACGTTGGCCCTCTCTCTTTCTCCGTCTGTCTGTTTTGTCCAGCCCGGTTTTATTCCCAGTGACATAGCGATGCCTAGCCCAGATGCCATGTCTCCGTCTGGCCTAAAGCCCGGCTCACAGTTTTACCCATCATATCCCACTAACCCCAGGAGAAGGCCGCCTGAAGGTGGCATAGGTAAGACAGCATATTGTTGCTTTGTGTTGTTTTAATTTTTTTATTCTCATTGCTACACAATTTATGTAAATACATGTTTTATTTATATATAACGGTATGTTTTAGAACTTTTAGTAAAGAATTGCTAAATAGCGTTTAAGTTATATTCTGATTACCGTTTCCTCTGCCTGTCTACATGTAGACTCCCAGCCAAAGAAGATTCGCAAACCTCCAGGGCTGCCGTCCTCGGTGAGTGCCGTTTTTTTTTTTGCCAGCAACAATGGTTTTGACAGCAGGCCTATGCAGCTCGTGTGTTAATGGCAGATCCACATAATTGGATACACTAGTCAATGTAACGTGTATACATATTAAACCAATTGTTTTCTGTCTTAAATTTGAGTTGTCGAGCACGGGGAGGTTATATCACAACAGAATTGAATTCTCCTTTAACTGTAAATGCATTTTTTGATTTAAAGTCTAGACTCTGGATTTCACGGACTGCAGTGCATCTGTGAAAGACACGACGGCTGTAGTACTTTTCACAATTTTACATTTCTATGAAAGTGTCAGTATGTATTGATGTAACGATACATGTGCATACTTTCAAGTGCAAAATCATTTGAATAACACAAATCTCTTTTTGTAAATCACTTGAAGTGAAAGGTCCTTTGTGTTTTTAGTCACAAACTGCTTTGGTTGAACATCACGTATTTAGCAATTATACTTCTGACACAGACCAGGAAAACCTAGTCCACTGAGCTTCCTCATAAAGGCCGTAGCATCTTGTAAACATTAGACTATCTATTTTAAGTGTTACGATCTGAAGCAGCTCCTGAAATCGTTTTCAATAAACAATAAAACGTTAAGTTGAGCAGCACCAGGATAAAAACACGTTTCTGATTGTTTATTTGAAGTGCCTTACAAAAGGTCTGACAGACACACCAATGGCGAAAAATAGTTAGTTTGTGGGTTTTTTTTTTTTTTTTTTTTTTTCAGATAAAGCCCAAAGCTACGTGGCCGTACTGTAAGAAAAACGAAATTGAGATTTAAACAAGTGAAATTATTGAGGTTATCAAAAAGACTTGGGTGGTTTGGCTGCAGTCTGATTGAGTGTTAACGTTTTTGCCCACTGATTCAATGTTTTCATTGCCATTAACGGATATCTGTCCTAACAGCCACTTTAATTATGTTTTGTGTATCGCAACTTAATTATTTATGTTGTCAAAGTTGATGTATAACCAAAGTTGTTTGTCGCCGCCAGGACATTAACTGCGTATCTACATGAACGGTCTATATAAAACGAGTCGCCCTCAGAATGTAGAACCACGATTATGACGTTATAAGCGTCACCCTTTGATTAACAGCCAGTTAATTGTGTATTGCAGATGTGTCAAACTTGAGATGTGTCAGACTCAAGTTTGACCGGGCCAGGTTGTAGTCTGTGGCCCGCAGGAGCTTAAAATGCATTTAGTAAAGTCCAAGCTTGAGTAAATAATCAATTGCAGAACCGGGTAATAGTCTGTTATGGAGTAGTTACGTCTGTACCAGCGGTGCCCACCCTGTTTTGTGCCAAGGACAGGTCAGCCAGTACCACTCGTTACTACGGAGTGGTACCGAGGTGCTGAGCATTGAAGGATCATTACATTTTCAAAATAAAACATATTTTAGACTCTATTCTGTTTGTATCAGAGTCTGAATGACCTGTTATTTTAAAATATTGCTCTTTAAATAAAGAATCCAAATGTTCTGAAATGAAATGACTGGTACCGGACCCCCGATCTCTATGGTGAACTGATGTGGCCCCCCGGTGAAAATGAGTTTGACACCCCTGGTGTATTGCATTTAGGGTAATACTTCAGATTACTTTGCTGATTAGAAAGTCTAACCCTGCTCTGGTTACAAATAACTTTGGTTCTATCAAGTTCACTTTTCTGTCGCCACCAGTTGTTTTTCGGTGTCCCAACGTTTCCGCATACTCATCAGAACGTCACGTGCTACATTGCTGTGCGTGAGGCATTAACGGCGGTCCATGTCAACTGAGCCCTATCGCAGTTGTGACCACATTGGTTGCAATGCGGCAACATACCAACTTCTGTTAGCCGTGGTTTGTTCACGTATTCAGAGCCAGTGAGCAATGGAGATAAAAATAATAACGGTAAATGAATTATCGTGATGACAAGACACGTTAACTTACTAGCCTGGTGCTGGTACAGAATGACGTGATTTCTGGTTGAGGTCTCTCTCGTTTGCGCGATTTTCAATGCAAATGTCACAGTTCTCTGTCCTGCGCACCTAAAACGCACTTATGCGCACGGTTCATCCAGGCCTCTGCCCGCATGTCATTACACGATGTCCCCTCCCACTGCTGCCTCCCCCTTCCACCACCTCCCCGCGAGTGACCCAGTTGTGAGACGGAGTGCTCGTGAGGCCTCTTAGCCCCATGTCTGAGCCCAGATTAATGACTAACGATGATGATCCTGCGGTCTTCCCTCCCACCCACGCTCCTCTTCACCAATTCCTAAGCATTCGCCTTTTTCTCTTTTTCTAAAATTGACACTTGTATTGGGCTTTCTTAAACTTTAACTTCCTAGGCTCCGTACTCACTAATTACTCCCACAATTCTTGCCCTGACCGTTCGAACCCCCACCCCTTCAGATGTGCAACACTCACAAAAACGGAGCAACTTGTAGTTGTCCGGCACATTAACTACAAACCCCCTGTGGCCGAATAAAGCGCTCGAGGTTAGTTTGATGGTAATCTTTTTCTACTCCACAACCCGTGGGTTTCCACGTATAGACATTTACAGGGTTGTAACCTGAATTACATTAAAGCCCTATTAGATGGGGATTTTACCCTAGAAATCCTCTTCCTTACTGAAAATACAATTATCCAGTAGCGGCACAGATCATTGTGTAGCTCTACGTTCCCTTGTCGATTCACTGCACATTGTTCCCGGCGAAAGAACAAGTCGGGCTATTGTCAAATGAAGCCATCTTTGTCATGTTTTCCTCTGAATTAACCACGATCAGTTTAAATCCCTTGTTTCCTTCACACTCCCCTGGCCATATCAAGCTTTGTTTAAGTCATTTAGATTACCTTCTCCTGTCCCCCGTCAACACCCCTTATCTCTCTACCCATTTCATAAACCCCCCGGTCCTTCAGTTTTTCCCCCTCAATTCTCCCCCTTGCCCCTTTACCCCTCCCTCATCCAGTGTGCTCTCTTTCTCGCTCACTCGCTGACTCGATCCCAGCCCCCATCTCTCCCTCTCCTGGTTCCCTCTCCTCAGCCCAGCTGCCTGTGGAGTTGGATGTGGTCCAGGAACAGGCAGATGGCTCTGTAATTAGAAGTGCATCTCTCCATTCCCTTTCCACTTCTCCCTGTTAAATCAAATTACAGGAAAAAAAATCCCTTCTCTGGATTAGCATTCTTTGCCATGTAGCCTCAATTCTCTTCCGTATTCCTTTCGATCCGCGCCGCGCAACGGAGGAATCGGGGAAAAGCCGTTACGAGTGGCAGCCGATGGTGTCGAGAAACTTCAGGCTGTTATTTCAGTTGCCCGGCAGTTGCGTTAAAGGCGCAGCTCCGTTTTAATAGGCGTTTTGTAGCAGAACTTCTGTTTGATTAGACCGTTGACAGACGTATGTGGAATACGCAGTACGTTCAAACTAAGTTTTTGTTAATGCCACATGGAGCACGGGCGGCCATTGTGAGCATGCTGAAAGTGCAGCGCGCATGGGTGTGTGTATGTTGGCTCACTGAGAGCATGGTATGCGCGTGAGCTGATACCGAGTGCTATCGGGAGGGGCCGCGGGCCAAAGCAGTACAGCGTCACTGGGGTCCTGGGAGCTAGAGGAAGTGCTCACTGTGCACCGGGATTCAAGCTGTAGCCGTGCCCAGCATGTCATGGCCACTGTTTTCCTCCGTAGGCCAGGAGAGGGGCAACAGAAACCGCCGACAGACTCCCTCTTGCCATCTTGTGGCCGTTTAACGACGGTGCCCTTGTATAGCAGTTTCCTAATGAAATTAAGATAGAAACATTCGTTGGTGTCAAAGTATTTGTAAAAACACTGATTTTTCTGTTTTTCTTTATTGGACATTGACATATTTTGTTTGAGTAAACCGTAAAAATCTGTTGCTGTGTGTTCAGGTGTACGCCTCAACTTCTGGGGATGAGTACACCAGAGACAACGGAGGATATCCCGGTTCTAAACCTGGAGCCGTGTACTCTGGCCCTTTCTACATGCAAGGTAACCAAGTTACTGCTTTCCATGTACTCTTCAGGTCCTGCTTTTGAAGCCGTTTTTTTCTAACTCGCTCACATGTGTTTTTTTTTTTTTAGAAGACCCCTGGTCATCTTCTGGCTACTCTGCCATGCTGGGTAATTCCCCTCACATAGGTCAGCCAGGTTCCTTCTCTGCGATTAATCCACAGGACAGAATGGTGGGTAGAAAGCGATCGCTTCTTTTATTCACCCATACGTTCGTCGTCGATGTAATTACTTTGAGAATGCAATGTTTCCATTTAGAAATAGCTCGGACAACGAAAAGGCTTAGTCATTTGTTCTCTACCACAAAATGTTGACTCATTGAGCCATTGTTAGGATTGCACGACACACCTTCACACGAGTAGGTTTTTGCAGCCGCTTCCGATCCTGCCCATGTACACGAGCCCCTTCCTCTGTCTCCACAGAACTACCCTTTGCACGGCAGCGAAGTCAATGGCTTTCACCCAGCCCCCACCACTTACAACCACCCGCCCGCCATCAACGGAGAAGGCATTATACGTAAGGAATTGAGATAAACTGGGCTTCGTCCGATTTACCTCGCAGTCATTGTTGTTTTTTTTTTGTTTTTGTTTTCCTTTGTACTCGACAAGAAATTAACGGGTCATCTGAGTCGTGTTATTTATTTTGTCTCTGCAGCCAACCGAGGCACCACAGCTGGCAGTTCGGGAGATGAAATTGGGAAGGCTCTTGCCTCAGTGAGTTCTTTTCTGTTTGCTGTTGGTTTTGTAAATTAGTGCAGGGCAATAAAGCAATCACGGCGGTTTTCACAGGGATTTTATTTTCTCTGACAAAGTGACCGTGTGATGTCGTCTAGAGACACGTGCGAAAAAAGAACAAAGAAGTGACGAGGGCCGCGACGCAGAACAAATACTGTCGTCGGTCGGTTTCTGTACGTTTTGAGTCGTCGGTACGAGTTCGTACCGATTACTGGGCACAGTGTATTGTCAATTGTATTTTTGTCTATTTTCAAAAATGTTAAGATGTAGTTATTCTGTTAAAAATGTCGCCGTCAAGAGTAAAAATATGATATTCAAAAAGAATCATAATTATTTTAGTTTAAAATCATCATTCTCTTTAAGTCTTCTGTGTTGACATAACTGTACGTTTGTTTTGTTTGATCAGATTTACCCATCAGACCACAACAGTAATAACTTCTCTTCAGCTCCGTCCACTCCTGGGTCTCCTCAGGCCATTGCAGGTAATGTTCTCACATTTCACTCAGGTGATCAAAGGTAGCCTTGTAAATGTGTCTTCTCATTCGACAGTTCAAATAAGTAGCCAGTCATCAAAATTGGATTTGTTGTCAGTCACGTCAGTTATGATCTGCTTTGATTGGATTCGCTTTGCAAGTTTCGCCAGTGCTTTGTAAACTGTGTTCAGGTAATGCTAACGTAGATATCAATCAGTTCAACAACTCCCTGGCACTTTACAAGTTCTGAGGTACAGAAATGTGTTTCCGGCTCCATGTGGTGTTGGGTTGAGATAACACTAAATGCTTTTTCAATGTTTCTCTCTACAGGAGCTCAGTCTCAATGGCAGAGACCAACCACACCCAACTATGAAGGGCAACCGCACACACTGGTAAGCGGGTACACGGTCGAATGTCTTTTTTGTAATTCGGTTTACCAAATTCACGTAGAAACTAATGCGCGTTTCTCGTATCGAAGCAGCAAAATAAAATGGAAGATCGGTTGGAGGAGGCCATACACGTACTGCGGAGCCACGCCGTCGGCCCCGGCTTAGAGGGCGCTCATTCTGACATGCACAACTTGCTGGCTGCGGTGCACAACGGAGGTCTGGGGGCCCTGTCTCCTGCTTTTCCTAATGCGAGCCTTGCCCTCAGCAACAGACATTCAGCTATGGTGAGTCGCCAACTCTGCTAGAGCACTCAAAAGACAACGGGGTCTTTTGTGTTTTTCTGTTTAAGTTAGTCATAATAACGGTACAATGCATACGCTGCTTTTTTGGAAACAATGACTGTAACTCCTTTTCAGCTAAGGCTTGGACGCAGTGCAACAGAATACTTAACTTAAAGGGTTTTGTGCCATCTGCTGGCCAGAGAAGACATTTCACGTAACACCGTAAATAATACCCCGTTTGTTTGTTGATTTTTTCTGAAAACAAAAGATAAACGTAAGTCGTATACCAAATCCACCGGAACATAAAGACGTTGGCGAATGCATTTGTTGAATTCTCGTCCTTCACTTTATCAGCAGGGAGGAAAGCACGAGGAGCCCACCGGTCTCCCTCCCAGCAGCACCCTACTGCACGGTCACCACGCGTCCGGACCTACACCGTCGGCTGGCCAACCGGAGGGCTTCTCCAGTAAGTAACATCATGATACGGTTATACATTATTTTGTATTCTTTGATGATATGAAAATATTCGATTTACTTTAAGGCTGGAAATAATGACTACTATCGCTCTAAGGTGCCAGTTAGGCTTGTGGCGTATAAAATGTTTTGGGCCAATAATAGCGACGGTAGAATTGTCAATCGGTGTCGCGTTTGAGTGACCAAATGTTAATACTCGGCGGCGTGTTTTGGCAGCTCTGCTGATGCGGCTTCTTTGAGCTAAAATTTCTATTACGCCCTAGAGGGGAAAAAAAGTAAAACACTGAATCCTGTTTCTCTTAACATTTAAAGTATGTGTTGAAATGTAATTCAACCATTTCCCTTGACAATTCCCTCAGGTCTTCCTGGTGGTATGGCTCGTTCTACACACTCCTCCGGCAGCAGCTCAGACATCAAGAGAGAAAGCAAAGACGACGATGACGAGAACTCTCTCGCAGACAATTCTGATGACGAAGGACAGGACAGCAAGATGGCACGCATTCGGTCAAGGTAAGTTACTCCCCGCTTGCCATAGAATGATTCCAAATGGTCGTAATAGATTCTCAGTACTATTCACGCTGGCTGCTTTTGTCACATGTTGTCCCAAAGTTTTGTCGCATTGCTGAATATCAAGTAAATGGTTGATGCGTGAGAAAAAAATCCTGAAAGGTTTCACCGGTCGGAGATGTTGTCATGTACTCTTTCCTGTGTGTCCAGCTGACACCGTCTATGTTCGGTGTTTAACAATGTCAAACCCCCTTTTCCCTCATGTCACGTTTTCAGAAAGGAGGCGTTGACCCTCCAGATGCTATCTAGCCTTTCAGAGACTCAAGATGAGTAAGTTTCTCCAGTAGACAAATATCTGGTGCTTTGTAGGCTCACCACTCGAAGCACACATTCACAATTGGTGAACTGAAGGAAAAGTTTGTACGCCGAGCAGTACTTTTCACCCGTTTGTTTTGGCAGGAAATTCGTAGGAGGTGAAAAGTGACGACAGTCTCGACAGTTAAAAGACTGAATTTCAGTCCTTTTAGTCCCAGTCGCACGCTCGCACACTTTTCTTTTCTGAAATACTCAGTTTGACATATACATTGGACTTGTTTACAAATAATCAGTTCAGTTTAAAAGTGAAGCTGTGGAACAGCAGAGTGATAAACATCATGAACGTTCTTGTATGGTCAGCATTTCCTTCTACAATTATTCCAAAGTTTCATCGCCGTCTCTCCCTTTTTGCAGTCTGGACAATGAAAATGACGAGGATCTTCCTCCCGAGGTGAAGATGGAGCGCGAGAAGGAGCGGCGAGTGGCCAACAACGCTCGCGAGCGACTCAGAGTACGGGACATCAACGAGGCGTTCAAAGAACTCGGCAGAATGTGCCAACTGCACCTCAGCCACGACAAACCTCAGACCAAACTTCTCATTCTGCACCAAGCGGTCAACGTCATACTCAATCTAGAACAACAAGTCAGAGGTTCGCATCGAAGCGTCGTGAATGCGTTTGTCGACCGGGCCGCTTCCTGGTGTTAACGGCTTTTTTGTTCTCGTTCTCCTTTTGCATCAGAGCGTAACCTAAACCCCAAGGCAGCGTGTTTAAAACGACGCGAAGAAGAGAAGGTTTCGGGAGTAGCGGGCGACGCACCGATGCAGCTCTCAGGAGGCCATCCCAGTATGGGTGGAGATGGACACAATCCAGTTGGCCACATGTAACACCAGGTAAATACTGATTGAGTGATTGAACGCTACATCTTTCACAGTGAAACTGTTCTTTTTTTCTTTAGCATCAGTAGTTACGAAAAGTACTACTTACCTTTTAATCTTGTATTGATAATAAGGTATATAATGCTCATATTTTATCTGTATACAATTGTGTATGTGCTTATGCGTACGTTTTTGTGATATTTGAATATTATATATTATATTTTCAGTTATTTGAGAGGAAGGTTGTGAAGGCAGGTATTTGAGGAAAATAACACGTTTGCTGTTGGTTACGTGGTTGATGAGGAACAATAATGGGATTTAAATGCGGACCAAAAGGAGGGTGATGTTTTTAGTCTAACGTGCGGTCTCTGTTCCAGGTCTATTGGTGTTTCCTTGGCTGTCAGAGGATGTGGCCTTAAGAAATTACTTCCGCCCATGATTCTCAGTGTGTGTGTGTATATGTGGACATGTCTGTGTATTAACCGTTGAAGTTTGAAGATGCACATTCACACACCGGTACACACGCGCATACTGCCAAAACTGACACAGCCCGTTTGCCGCACTCCCAACAACCATGACTACAAGCTCAAATGTGAAGAACTTTTTTTTTTAGTTTTTCTTGTTGTTTTATACATTTAAAAATTTTTGTTGTCTACTTTTGGTTTCCACCGGACGACGGAACGCCAGAGTACTTTACGTCCCGCCACGAATTGGGACTTCACACACTGCCGAGAGGTGCTCTGGTTAAAGAAAGGAGACCTAATCAAACAGAACCTAAATCGAGGATTTGTGCCTAATTATTACATGTTTTCTATTTGACATTTAAGCAAATTGCTTTACGCGAGGAACATTTATCGTAAGGGATTGCTTATGTGTATGAGCAATTATTTTTAATGTATGTCATTCCCAGCGTGATGGTACAGTCTTACATATGTTATGTAACCAAGCATTGTAGTTGAATTAACGTTGAATTGTCTAAATTCAACAAACTCTCCGCGATCTCGTCAGCAACCGATCGCGGAGGTCACGGCGAGAGGTCAGAGTTTTTACGGCTTAGACACAGCTTTCACTAAGGACGGGAAGTCTCCGACAGGAGCCCGGTCCCACCCCACGAGGCATCTGGACACTTGGAGCGCAAGACTTTTTCCTTCGAGGTTACACGTAATCCAAACGATAGAATCTGTCAACGGCTAAACTCTTCTTCCTTTGTGTTGACCAAGATGTCACAGTTTAGTTCAGCCCCCACCCTTCCCACCCCCACCCCCCTTCGCAAGTTTGGGTTTTTGTATCGCTTGACGTACGAAAGCGTTTACGGACGAGACGGAGCTCGGTTGTACAGGCTTAAGCGCGAAGTCGAGCGTCGAGCCGTAGCGCGTTTAGTTTTCGGAAAAGCGACTCGCGCCGCCTGGCGCCGTCCTTTTTTCGGAAAGGTTTAGCGACGATGCCGGCAAACTTCACAGTTCCAGGTTTTCCCCTAAATTGAACTTCTGTTTAGAGAAACAGCTGTGTGTTTATGTTGATGGAGGATACTCATCAGTGTGCATTTATTGAAGCAGACAAGCCTTTGTGTAACAAAGTTTTCCTTTTCCTAAACGAGCATTCCCGATGAATTACAGCCCTCCACTTTGCTCCCGAGTAAGTTTGTTCTTTCTTTTCCTACTGAGAGAAGTGTGATGTGGAAATTTTACTTCATACATTACTCTGATATGTTTCATTTTTCAAAAATAAATATATATGAAATATCTATTTTTTTGTTAGTCTATACATTGTAGATTTTTTACATAAATGGCAATATTAGTTTGAAGTTTAGAGTGTATTGTAGATGACCCCGATGAGGGGATATTTGACATTTAAATCAATTTGCTCAAAAAGAAAATGAATTCTTAATCGAACCGGAAAGACAAAGGAAAAGAGTTAACAGGTGACGAAAGACACACGTAGAAAGCGTTTCTGTACTTTATTCCAGTTTATATCATAAGGCGTAACGTAATCTACCCGGATGAACTATTTCTTTCCATTTGGGGCTGTGTGGACATTTTGCTGCAATCACAAACTGAGGACAAATGTGGGAAAGGAATTTTGTCTCTTAACAGTTATTATGCAACTGGTTTTTGAATGTAGCTACCATACAAATGTGGATCGCCTTCATTTAAAAAAAAAAAAAGTGTTTCTTGGTTCTTTAAATACAGTATCATTTTTTTGTTTGACTTTTTCTACTGTCTGCCCTAAACCAGGCAGTTCTGCGTGCAGCCCTTTTTGTATCCTGCACATTTGTTTTGGAGGTCGTCGTCCGCATTGGGCGTAAGATGACGGACAATGCGGAGAACAAAACAGTGTTATTGTGATATTCATGTCATGTTGTGACTGGTTTTTACCAACATGTAATCACATAAGGGAGGTAGAGCGTTTTGTGTTTTTAATTTCTACAAAATGAGATGAAGAAAAGAAAAAAAAGCATACCTATACAAGTCAAAAGCGTGGCCTTTTCATTCTCAAGACTTACGATGTCACGGTGAGAGAGTGATACCTTATCAGTGCCTGAACTTGTATTTTCATCTATTACAGTTTTATTTTGTGAACCATATCATTTCATTAATCATTGAGATAAAAGAGGTACTTGTTCATTCCCCCACCCTCCCTTCTTCAATGCTTTTGTTCAGTTTTCAGGAAAAAGTAAAAATGGTATAAAGAGATTTTTTCAGTGTATCTAGTAAAATAAATAAATGTTACATAGATCTTTGTTCAGTTTTATTTCTTGTTTCAAATGGTTCGTCGCATCACGTGGTCCAAACATTTGTAGTCTTCTCTATTTAGCTAAACTGACAACACTGTTCTAATTGTCTCCTGATAACACACGCAAAGATGTTCCTGTACGAGTGTCGATGCAGATATAGGCAGAAAGCGAAGCGTATTTCATCGATTGAGTTGTCTGCATCAGTACGGGCCCGCGACTGTCGGTGTAATGTGTGTGTAGTTTTTTTTATTATTCTTATATATTTTTTTCCGATTCCCGGTCGATTGTTTATATGGATGGAGCTATACGAGGAGTGATATGAGTATTCACATACGTCAGGAGTCTACAGGCGTCGGTGCGTTTACTCCTTATGTGACAGCGATATGCAAATAGGACATTGATTTTGACAGCGTCGTTAGCGAACTCGTCCAACATCACGTGTATGTAGTTGCTTTTTGAAAGGTGTCGGCGATAGGAGTGAATAAGGTGTTCGCCGCGAAGGCCACCGGGCTTTTTAAGCACTACCCCGTGATCGCGATGGCATTAGAAATCCCCGAATGTACGCGTAACGCGCAATTGTTATATTTGACAGGCGAGTTAAAAGACAGCCCCGGGTCCTTCGATGGATTAATAGCGGTTGTCGCACGCAGGTTAGTGTGTGCAGCGCCGCAGCTCGGAGAATATCAGGATGATCCAACAAATGTTAGGTAAAGTAATTGTTGCCGAGTACGTCGGTATTGTAAGGACGTGTTAAGTCACACGGATAACACCCCGGTGAAAGCACTCTGTCAATTCCTGAGGACAAATACTCGTGAATGTGGTGTTATTAAAGACCGTGGATATGGATATAAAGGTGTATTGAGTCAAGAACACATACTTCTGTCTTTAAGATTACACCAACGGCACTAATAAAAACCGCTCGGTTGAGCGTTGGCTGCAGGTTTCCCCCCAAAATAGAAATGAGAAATAATTGTGTTGGACCCAGCGAATTAGGGTTGATTTATGTTAAATGGCTCTGCACCATGTACCCTGCCCGTGTGTATATTGTTTCTTTTTCTTCTTCCGTGGAAAGGTACATAAGAAGAACACAATAGTTGGCAGTAACATAACCGAAAGGATTCCAATTGCTGTTGAAACCCAGAGTGAACCGTCAATGCACTAGCAAAGAAAAATACTTTTTCTATCAAGTGAGAAATAACTTGCATCATTGTATGTGCTTTTGTGTGCGTGTGTCACAATTGTGTAAATCACAAATGAGCAAAAATGTGAGATTTTTTGGAGGTTTGTTGGACCCACAGATTAAATGCGGGGCTGTAGTAACTGGGCCTGTCCTGTGTGTTATATGGAACAACACAAAGATGTTATTGTAACAGAAATTACAGCTTTGTTGGGAGAAAAACGAATGTAAGTGTTTAATATCTGCCGACTTTGTGTTGTTTTCCGTTTAGGGTACCGTACACGGTTGCCCGGGGGAAGGTGGGTTGACTGTGTGCTGTACAGTAATGGAAAGGTCAAGCGAGTCAACGTGAGTGCGTCACTCAAAAGGATAATAATAATAATAAATTTTAGTTTTGGCCACACGAACGTCATGGAGTTGCTTGGGCTCTGTAAACAACGTTTTGTATTCCTTTCCGGGCTTGTCGTGTAACTAAAATTGTATTTTTTTCTCTTATTCGTGTAATGTTCGATGCATGTTTTCAGTCACTTGAAGATTTCGCCGATGTCGTGAGTAAGATGCATTTGATTTTATAACGGGGAAGGTCATGACCTAAGAAGAAAGTATTAATTTGTACGTGATTAAAAAAAAAATTATATCGAATGGAAGAATCCATTACCTAAATACCCCCTAACGCCTGCTGGGTAAAATATTGCTTAAGGTTGCAGTACCCAGTACTAGGTAGACGTTGAAGTGATTCATCAGGTATCGTCTGACATAAAGCTCATTTTAATGTGCAAAATTTGCGTGGTTCACGTCTTTCATTTCTCCCATCGAAGGGGGAGGGGACTGAAAGAGGAGAGGGGAGAAGGGATTTAACATAGCGAGAGAGGGTAAGAGAGGGATAAGCAGATTTTTCCTCCGAGATGGATAAAAACGAGTAAGTATGGGACATTAAATGTTAATACGTTAACAGATAGAGCATTCGATTTGAGGTTTTATCCGCGACGTCCGAATGAAGGACGTTTGTCATCGATTCTATGCGCTCGGTGGTCGCACATTTGAAAACGGCAGCGCAGCATTTTGTAGCGGTGATGTCGGTTTGTTCCTCAGCATCACCGTGGCACGATTACATATCTGCCATAACGTTTGCAGCCGGCGGTGTGCTTAGCCTTACGTCGACAGATGCCGTGTTTGCACGGTTTTTACGCATTGCAACCAGACGCGATGTTCTGCGGCGTTCTTAATCACAGTCTCGCAGAAATTAAAAAATGCACGTTGTCTTTTTTCATCTAATCGACGTGCACTATTTACATCGTTCATTCATAAACGCCGGCGTTCCGTGTCTGCGGGATGACAACCGCAGGCATCGTCGCGGTGTACGGGCTGAGCTCACGTCACAATAAACTTTGGCATTGTACTGCGAGGAGCAAAGAGAGAAATATGTTTGTTATTTGTCCTAGAAACGTCGTTTGAAATGTATCGGGCACGAATTGCGGTCACGTCGAACGTATCGTGTTTCTCTGCTGTCGGTGGTGTTCTTGAAGCAGAATTCTAATTGAGGTATGCGATAGGCCAACATGGCTGTGGACCTCTTTCCTAGCATGAAGCCAAACCGAAGCGGGTAAGAAACACTTCCGGTGAATTTCTTTAAACAATTATTGTGGAGGGGTTATTAGCTAGGGAATAACCACCAACATGTTTACTTGAGGCGTATAGATTTACATAAGGCTTACGTTGAAATACAGAAAAAGGTGCAACTTACCTTTAAGATATGGTGCCGTTACTCTCTATGTGTTCAAAAAGCCACTCAATTTTAAATCTTGTTCTATTGCGGCGGTATGTAATTATAACGTGGTAAATACACATACGCTGATGTTTTGGGTTTTTTTAGCTTTTCCTTTTGCGCACATGAAAAACATTACTTTCGGTAATCTTTATTCGTTATCCTTTTTTTTCAACTTTATGATGTGTTTGACTGACTTTAAACCAAAAATATTACGACTTCACAATCTGTAAATGTATCAATTTTGCCGTGTAACGCCACAGACTCGGGATCCAAATGTTCGAGGCCATTTCAGTACCTTTCTGATATTTGTAGATTTGTAGATATTTGTAGATAGATGTAGCTGTTTTTGGTATTTATACCAAAATGTCTAAGTTGTTTAGGTCGAGTCTAGATGGCTCACCCCTGCCTAGAATACACGTTTGTGAGAATGCTGGCCTGTTCAAGCAAGTCCTAGTTGTGAAAGATTGCTACAGGCAGTGTAAAATAGTTACAGTTGCAAGCGATTCAAAAACTCCAACAGGTCATCACCATAAGTCGAGACGCTAGAACGACGCCAGTAGGTGAACGGATAACAGACGTAACTCTAAGGATTGTATAGCCTACAAATAAGATAGGTTGTTGAAAGCGTAAAAAACTAAAACACGTTAGGACTGGTCAGTTAGGCACGTGGAACGCTTAGAATTGTATCATTATGTCTTTGGCAAGCGTTAAGCTGATTCGATCAGGTTTCAGGGCTCAAATAAAATGTTAGGAAACGTGACGTTTTTCACCGACGGCGAATGAAAGAGTGCGTCGGCGTGGACGCGGCTGTACTACAACAAGACAATAACAACAGTGTGTTGTGAAAGCAGAACGCAATCCAAATCTATACCGTAACAGAAATATCTGAAAAAAGAAGACAATTAGACAAAAGGAGGGTCCGTAGGAGATCGTAGTAAAGCGGCCCAGTCGTAACAGTTCCGATGTAGTTCTGACATGGGAGTTTGTCGTAGGTGGGAAAAAAGGATTTAGTTTTTCATCAAATCCTTTGATGTGTTTTGGCTAGATTTAGATGTAAGTTACGTATAAGCGTCCATCAGCCTTTTCTGCCTTTTATCCTTTTATTTTGAAGTCGCCGTTGGGTTCGTTTCCGGCTGCTGTCCCGCGGTTTGTAAAGAACTACTTGTTTCCTTCGCGGATGTAGCCCTCGCCACACGGTCAGAGCGGGCGAGCAGTGATCCGGTGGTAGTTCGCGGCGGAGCGATCTTCGGGACGACAAAGAGCTGTGATGTTGGAGCGGCCGCGAGGTCTCGTTACACAGGACGCGTGTTTGAACGTGCTCGAGACAAAAGCTTGAGGAACCGGAGGCCCTTCGACTTAGAAACACGTCCACGCGTTGCTGAAAGAAACGGGCGACGCTTTCCGTTGTAACTTTTCGTTGGCGAGTAGCGCGGGAAATGGAGAAGAAAAGGTGGGATTGCGCCGCTCTCCCCAAGGGCTGGAAAATGGAAGAAGTGACCAGAAAGTCGGGTTTGTCCGCTGGAAAAAGCGATGTCTATTATTTTAGGTACTGCACCCACACGTCCTTCTTAAACTTCATTGTACTCTCGCGCAGCGAGTTGGCAAACGGGGCCGTACGGGAGAGTAAGACGAGGAGGTGTGCGGGGAGGGCTGGACCGCATAAAGTTTGGGATGTTTCAAGAGGGTAGGCGAGAAGGCCGACTGCCAGGCCAGCTCGGCCGTACCGAGGAGCGAGCGGGCTAACGGCAGCAGCAGATGAGGCCGCGATGAATGAACGTCGGTGTCTTTAATCCTACTGTATGTGCGAAGTGAATGAACATCGCCGGATGTGTTTTCATTTATAGCAGAGGAGAAGAGCAAGATGAGGATCAGAGGCAAGAGAGGGGGGAGGCGGGCCGGTTGTATAGTTTGTGGTAGGCTGACTGTACTACTCTCCTGGTGTTGACTGTGGTGTGTGATGTCAGATACATGTGCATGAGTAAAGAGCACGAACCCGCAGTGTCGTTGGCCATCGCTCAGGTGGGACGCAGCACCGTGGAGCTGCGATGTTTCCATGTACAAACATTTGAAGTGGTGGTGATGTGTCGTTTACATTTGACTCCGTTTCTCAGGATGTTGTTGTTTTGTTAGGAATGCACACAGTAACGGTACTGCTTATGTTTATATCAACTTAAGATGTCCGGCACTTGGCAGTTAACCGGGCGAAAGATGCATTACACCGACTGTCCATTTCGCACGACGACGACGTGCTTTCAGTGTCATTCCTCATGTGAATGTCGTCCGCCTCTGTTTGCCGTGGACGTGTTGCATGTTGTGCTCCTGTCTTTTGTGTATGGTGTTCGTGTTTTTGACGTCCGATCTGTCAGTTTTGTTTGTTTCTGTTCACGTGGCTGTAAGTTTTCAGTGTGGCGGCGTGTGTGAAGAACGCGGTATCACCGCTGTGGTTTTCCTCACGTGCTCTCGTTGCTTCCCTCCGCCAGTCCGTCTGGGAAGAAGTTTCGGAGCAAGCCGCAGCTGGCCCGCTACCTGGGTAACCAGATGGACCTGAGCTCCTTCGACTTCCGTACGGGGAAAATGCTGATGAGCAAGCTGAACAAGAACCGCCAGAGACTGCGGTACGATAACAACAACCAGAACAAGGTGAGCGTAAGTGGACCGTGGCGATGACTTGTAAATGACCCTCAGTGAAGGTAGAAGTTGACAAGTGTGAATGTTGTCATGTGCAGAACTAAGATCAAGTCTAATGTGTATGTAATATGTACTTGACTGTGTCTGATGCTTTATTTAATACGTCCTTATTCAGAGTTAGGTTTGAGCAGCCCTTCCTGTGTTTTTGCAAAGGTCACAAAATGTCATTTCACGTGCGTCTTTGTCTAAATGTCCTGTACGGAAGAGAAAAGAGGCTCATTTTTGTCCTCCGAGCGTATGACTTCTGGACACCGGTGGCAGCAGGTGGAGGGCAGAGTTTCTGGGAGGCTGAGCTATTTAAGGCATCGTCACGGCCCTCGACCCACACTTGGTGTAAACGGCCCATGGGTCCGTGGGAACCCTTTTAGGGACTATAACAGCCTAGACGGATAGTTTGAGAGAAGCGTGAGTGGAACGTTGAGAGAATCCCCGGCCAGCGTCCTGCAGTCTGGATGCACGTGTCGTGCTTCAGATCCTTACGCAGGTATGATGCAGTGGTCGCTGAGCGGATTCTGGTGTTTCCCGAACATCTGAAAACCCACGTTTGTGTGACGTGTTCAGTGTTAGAGAAGTAGTTTGTGTTGTTTTGTGCCAAAACTCTAAAAACAACACAATGGAAATGGTGCAGCTTTTGTAGTAAAAAGTAGGTTTATGTCATTGCAGTGTGAGCTGTTCTAACCAGGGTGCTGTTATGTGTGTTGTTTATTAGGGCAAACCGGACCTGAACACATCCCTGCCGGTCAGACAAACGGCCTCCATCTTCAAGCAGCCTGTGACGAAGGTCACCAATCATCCCAGCAACAAAGTGAAGACGGATCCTCAGAAAGCCGTAGACCAGCCCAGACAGGTAAACGGCCGCGGCGTGCTTCGATAGCTTCACGTGATGTAGAACAACAGACCCGAAGGGCGCATTACCTGACGCTGTCAATCTTGTTGGTTCGGTTGCAGCTCTTTTGGGAGAAAAAGCTCAGCGGTCTCAGTGCTTATGACATTGCGGAGGAACTGATGAAAACAATGGAGCTGCCTAAAGGCCTGCAAGGTGATCCTCCAGCTACACGAACTCTCCTCGTACATACACAACCGTACGCTATGGAAGAAATATGTACAGACTGTCGTTATAGAAAATAAATAAATAGAAAGAAGAAAGTGTTTGTTCTTCAAAAACAAGGACATATATATATATGTATATATATATATATATATACACACATATATATGTATATATACATATATATGTGTGTATATATATATATATATATACACACATATATATGTATATATACATATATATGTGTGTATATATATATATATATATACACACATATATATATATACATATATATATATATATATACATACATACATACATATACATATACACACACATATATACAAGAACCAGGGCTTTCGTGCAGCGACGCCGGAGGCCAGACACAAACTACTGAAGTGGAAGTAGTTATAGAGGAGATGTGGAAAGAATTCCACCGAAGGTGATTTATCAATGTGAAAAGTATTGCGTTTGACAGTAAATGTTTTACAGTTGAGGAAAGTAGCAGGTGAACCGGTTGTGTGCAAGAGCAGCCTTTTCTTTGTGCTACAGGAACAGTTTTGTCCTGTTGGTTGCCGGAGCCACAAAGTGAGGGCCTAAAAGAAATTGTAGTGGTGTGGTCCCTTAGTTGGCACAACCCTAAAATCAAAAATTAAATGTATATATAGAAGTGCACGTGTTTTCCTGTACTGTTACTTACGATACGTGTACTAGAGCTGTTCAAAAAAACAACGTTTTATAAATGTTAAAGGCAATTGCTGCGATTTCCATTCTCCAAGCTGCGGAAAGCCGATACCCAATACAATAGCAGTTTAGACAGTTGTAGTTGTCTTTGAAGTAGAGATGTGTAGGTTTTAGGGTGTTTTGGAGGTACCAGGTCAAAATGTATGCTATAGAAAGTCCTAAAACTGTATCGTTTCAACAAAGATTAAGTGCAGTAATGGACGAAAGGCATTTTATTGAATTAATATGCATTATCAATAATGGGACACTCGTGGAAAGGAAGGTCGGGCACAGATTAAACGAGCCTCCATTTTGGCCAATCAGGGCCAGCACGAGTCAGATTGTGTGGGATTTAGAGATATGTGTTAGCATTAGCAAAAGGTTATGTTACACAGTAAAAAAGTGGAAACAGCCGTTGATGTTTTTCTGTGTATTTTCAGTCATAACATATGGGTGGGAGAGTTCTCTGTAGTGGCAAAGTCTTTACTGCTGAGGAAGAGGGTGAAAAACAAAGACAAGATGCCACACAGTGTACGAGGTCCTCCTGTGAAGCATATGCAGTTGGAGGTCCTTCTCCTGGGGTTGCAGTGGGTCAGAGCTCGCAAACGATCGGCAAGCTTTCCGATATTTCACGCGCACGAAGAACGAGACACCGAATCGAGACAGTCGGTGGAATATGGCAAGGATAAAGACTGCGTGTAGACGGAGAGCAACGCTGCATTTGTTAAGCCTTCACGAGAGATGCGGAAAGCTGATCAGAAAGAAAGGAAGACGTAGTAAACCTGTTTATGCAGTGTTCCAATGCTATTAAATATGTTTTCTTTCAAACCTCAGTTTCACACTGTATTCAGATGAATTGGCAAACATGTCTGAGGTGCAATGACAGCTCAGAAATTCCCTGTTTGCTTCAAAGACAACTGTAATGGTCTAGATTGCAAACCGTAAAGGAAATGTTAGCAGCTTTGATGCGGTACCACTCGTAAGGCAATGTGGTTAATTCAAGTGAAGTTATAAGACAAAAGACAACACCTCCATCCGAAATCCGCGGCGTGTTCTACATCAAAGTCGTACGGCTCACGAGGCAGGCGTTCCCATGGTCAGAAATTAGGAATTGTTCTATCTGGATATTCCGCAGTTCGAAGAAGGGGATTGGGAGGTCTAATGTATTTGTATGTGTGCTGTTTTTGTTTTGTGGTTATATAAGTATAATTTTCATAGCAACAGTCTTTGGCTGTTGTTCCGTGTCAGTTTTATTGAAATTGTCCTCTGGTCGACTCGTGTTTTTGCAGGCGTGGGTCCGGGCTGCACAGATAAAACCCTTTTGTCGGCCATAGCCAGTGCTCTTCACACTAGCGTGGCCCCCATCACCGGCCAGCTGTCTGCAGCCGTGGAGAAGAACCCCGGCGTGTGGCTCAACACGGCGCAGCCTCTGTGCAAGGCTTTTATAGTGACCGACGAAGACATCAGGTGGGTGAGCGGGCAGTCTATGAGAAAAATGTCAGAATGTTTTGTTTAAGTTGAGCTGAGACGCTGGCCGTTAGCGGCGAGGGTAGCCGCCGACTGTAACGGCTTCCTGTCATGTCGATGCATAGGAAACAGGAGGAGCTGGTGTACAGTGTGAGGAAAAGGCTGGAGGAGGCGCTGATGGCTGACATGCTGGCTCACGTGGAGGAGGCTGCCAACGAAGGGGAGACGCCGAAGGAGGAGGGCAACGGGAGTGAAGACATGGAGAGCGTATAGCACAGGTGGGTGAGGGCAGCAGGAAGGATGAGATGGTATGATGTGAGGAAGTACGGGTGTGTTCAAAGTAATAGCAGTGTGTAGTGAAACATGTTTTACATCAAAACGTGAAGGACAAAGTATAAGTAATTTGATGTGTTTACAGAAAATGAAGGAAAAAAGTGAGATTGGGCTGGGAAAAAAAAAGAGCTGTGTGTGCATGTTTGATAACAAAGTCAATAAACTGAAAAAACCATTAAGATGTAGCATTCCTGTGAGTGACATAAGTAATATGTAAGTTGCGTAGCGGATGTTTTGGAGAAATGCTTCACATCTGTGCTGCATGGAGTCAACCAACCTGTGGCACCTAAAAATAGGTGATCCACGATCCCTGGTACGCGATAAATAGGTCCGACACCGTAGTAAGAGAAAGAGGCCCATATCGTGATGCTTGCACCACCGTGCTCAACGGTCATCAGAGCGTACTGTGGCCTGAATTCAGCGGTAGGGGTCTTCCGACAAACTATGGGCGGCCCTTAGACCCAAAAAGAACAATGTTACTTCCGTCAGTCGACAAAGTGTTTCTCCATTTCTCTGTAGGCCAGTCGATAATGGTTTTTGGCGTTTTATCCTCTTCAGTGCATGTGGGATTTTGTGGGGGCTACTTGCCGATACATTAGCTTCACACAAGCGTGTCGCTATCGTCACAGTAGTCAGAGGTAACTTCAGACCATCTCTGATCTCCCCAGAGGTGATCATTGGCCGAGTCCTTGCAATAACGGTTGTTACGTGATGCGTGGCGCCGCCAGTCACGTTGTGCGGCAAAATATGTGAATATGTAGACGTACAATATGTAAAGTAAGTAGCCGGAGGTTGGTCGGACGAAATTGTTGTCGGATGGAGAACACCCATACGAAGTCAGCAGAGCTGACATAGGAAGTTGGCCAGACAATGTATATCATACAGCGTGTTAATGTAAAGAGCACAGTGGCATGTACAGATGTGTTTTGTCATGTATGCAAAATGCATTGTGATATATTGTAATAGTGACACCGAACATATGAATGAAGTTAAAGTATAATGTAATTAACCGAAACAAAGTGTTCAGAAGAGGCTGTAATGCCTTGTGCTTGGATCAGGGTTGAAATTGTCACAGTAAGTAAGTAAAAGCCACAGTATCCTTATGTGTGAGGAAATATCGGCTGTCGGCTTCCCTCGGAGACAGATCGCTTTGTCAACGTACGTAATGTTGTGACCTGCATTCCCAGATTGGTTGGTAGAAGCTTACACAACACAGGTATTGAGCAGTATCGGTGTTCTTTGATGTATGCAATATCTGTCTATATGATGGTTTGCCACACAAGATAGGGAAGTACGGGGTTTAGCGCGACATCATGGGAAAACTGTCAGTTCTGGCTGTCGTTCGATCTGTTAGAACGGTTCTGTTCCATGTCTCTCGGGTGTGGCGTTCCATGTCTCTCGGGTGTGGCGTTCCATTTCAAGGCGTTGAGATTCATTGACTTGTGTATGTTTTGCCCTCTCCAAGCAAATGTTTAATTAAAGCACGCTGTTGTTCTGAACAACGTCTTGCACGATTTGTCGTCCTCAGGTTTTCAGAGAGAATCGCATGTACGACACGTGCTGGCTTCATCCTGAAGTAAGGGCCACCGGAGTGACATCAGTGATCGTACTTCACAATGCTATTATGTTGATCACGCTCCTTGTACTTAATCATTCGTATCATGAATGTTGGGTGTGTTGGTTTATCCGACTGTATTGCAGCTACTGGTAAAGTATTATCTGTGTAGTAATACGAGTTATATGGAAAGCACCGATCGATGCGGTGAGTCAATTTGGACTGCTGTTGTTTTGAACACAACTGTGTATGAAAAGGTGTGAGTAATGGTTTTGTCCTGTGTTTTTGTCTTTTCCTTTAGGTTTTTGCACATGTCAGAGCATTTTGTACGTACGCCGTCGCACGGACTTTGAACAGTTTTCCATTAAAAGCCAGAAGAGCTGACCACCCGAGTCCCTGTTTTTGTAAATTTGAGCTGAAGACGTTGATCCTCCCTTCGTCCGCCGTTCCATAAGTTACCGTTTGGACGAGACGTACCGACGGCCACTGGTCGGGGGGAGGAATGTGTTTGTACGCCAATGTAGTAAGAATGAAATGGAGGAAACATGCGAGTATGGAGCGAAACAAACAATGTATGATGAATGAAGTTTGGTTGTGGAAAAGGTGAGTTGTTTATGGGGTAAAATAAAGAAAAGGAAGGATGGGGCGCAGGATTAGACGAGGAACCGTGCTGACGTCCAGAGAGTCGGCCGTAGTCAGTGATGCACATTCATCGAGAGTGTCTTTGATGTACAGTTTGAATAGATGAACTTTTGTTATCGAGCGAGGTGTGCAGTACCGACCGAAGAGGGGACATGTCATTTCCAAGGGCTGTTGCGGTGGTGTCCAAAGGACCGACGTAAGCACGACAGAGGGAGAGAAATGACGTGACGCTCCTGTCGTCTGACTGCTCTTACCCGACGGCGTAGCGGCTGGGCGAGCAGTGGGCCGAGGAACGTTCAGTTTGCACGCTTCCTCCTGGAGACAACATGGTGCAAAATGACATGGTGTAATTTGTAAAGGCTTTCTGTTGTTGTATCAATAAATATGAATGACTTGACTCTGTATCACTGTTTGTTGGATGAGTTTTTATTGGCTGTGTAGAAGTCAACATGAGCGGACCGATTGGTGAAATGAATGTGATTGTATTACTTATTAAAAAGAGTGGGAATATAACTAACCAACTGCCTCGGTTGAGTTTGTTTGTTTGTGTTGTAGGATGACAGTAGTATTTGTGGAATGGTGAAGGTTCTCATGATTTCAGGGTAGTTGTCTGAGGAATGTGTGCGAATGCAGTGGAGAAGCAGTTTGGTGAATGGAGGTTTGTTGTCAGGGGTGTAGACAAACATGCGTCACTGTTAGCCAAATGTGGTGTTTATGTAGAAGGGGGGGGGGGGGAGAGTCCGGATTTAAGTGCATGTTAGGACTCCATCTGTTTTAGGTAGGTGTTATTTCAAGAAGAAGTGG